GTATATGTACGTATTAGATTTCAAAAACATATTTATAATTCGTCTAAAGTGGAGTTCATATATTAAACCATTTCTAACAGAAGAAAAATTGGATTTTACAAACTTGAATGACATTGACATTTCTCTATGTTATTAGATTTTTACGAATTGTTTGAGCTATGTAACTTTAATATCATAGCAAACTGTTAACACAAAATTATGAAAGCAACTCAAAATAACTCATGATGATGCCTCGATCTGACGCACCACCAGTAAGCTAAGAGAAAAGATAATTTATCTACCACCATATGCTTTCCACCTGATTTTGTTAAAGAATAACAAAACTTCCACATCGTTGGTTAATGAGATGGGTGGACTCCTTATAATGTTTGGGCAATCTTCCTCCCTTTGAGCTAGCTTTTAGGGTGTGAGTTAGGCCTAAGACCTAATTTTACATGGTATCAGAGTATGCCCGCAAAATTAAATTGCCCATGCACCAGATGTTAAGCAATGAGTCTAATTTCACAGATTTATTGTCCTATTTTTCCTACATAGGTAAAAATGCCTCACAAAATTAGACCCTGTCCCTAATTTTGAGCCTAAATGAAAGCATGTTTGTTGTCATATGTTTACCTTCCTTAGACCCTGTCCCTCCTTAGACATCATGTACCCACTCATGAAAATGCCTAAATTGAGGGTGACTACCATGAGTATATAAGAAAAGTACAATGGAGTATGAAAAATATAGGTTAGAAATGATCAACACATGTGGATATGATGTATTAAGATAGTTTGAATGTATTTACCTTCAAATTGAAAAAAAGGAATAGTGAATGAAAACAGAGAAAGGAAGGGGAGTCACATTCGAAATATTATTAATTAACGACTCAAAGGAAGAGAAAAGATTGTCTAACAAAAGAAAGGAAAACAAGGTAAAAAGGGTAACAAGGAGGGCGTAGTCATTGCCCCCAAATGTATCCTACCTTTGGCTCAAGCCTATGTTATGAGTTAAGAAAAACCTATATATAGTAATCCTAGTCTTATTGTTTGTAAAGTTGGTGCCAAAATAATAAGGACAAAATAATGAGTTATGTATGCATGGTTTGAATTTCATTATGAGAGAGTGTTTCCTATTGTCCCTCATACACAAATATTTATATGTGAGCGATAGGGTTATCTTTGTGGTGAGGGAACTAAGTTTGCATTTGAGAAAATTGCTTATGTCATTCACAACCCTTTGGATCGTGATAGGATGGGGAGTAAGGAATTAAGGGGGAGGGGCGGGTGGAGGGAGGTAATTCAATGGTGTGCATCTCCAAATGTCCATTTGGCTATTTTTTTCTTCTTTGTATTCTCTTTGCTTGAGTATATATAATTGTTTGATTGATAGAAACACCAAAGATGTAAGTAAGATTTTTGCATCAACCCAATTTAGTTTGAAATCAAACGAATCGATTCAATTAAGTTCACTTTTCTCATTTTTCATAATAATCCTTATGGCTTAAGAAGAGTAGGCATATCTTAATGTATACAGGAAAAATGAAAGACAATCATCATATCAAGAAAAATGTAAATAGAGAAAGTTTTTTTACTGAAAAAATATAAAGAGTTGCATAAAATTTATTGAAACATGATTATTTGGAAATAGAGTTACATACACTTTATTATAACATGACTATTTGGAAATAGAGTTGCATACACTTTATTAAAACATTGCTATTTGGGAAGTACCAAAATTTTATTGAAGAAGTGAAATTTGACATAATTAGCTGTGGTTGAATAATGGGCACTGTTGAGTGGTGGTATTATCATCCTGGCCTTGCTCAATGTTAGATTCAGATATTTTTGGTCCCTTGAGTAGTCCAACAAAAAGTTCTGTTGGATCATAGTATAACTCTAATTCCTCCATTCTTAGATATTTATCTACCTGCAAATATACAAAAACAAATAGTTAGTTAAACTCATAAGTTTTATACTAATGTATGTGAACTTTAATTCTTTATATTGGACTAATTCTAAGTGACTCAATAAGATTCTAGCCGAGGTGATCATTTACATGAACGACCTAGTAAATATGTGGTCTTGAACTCATGGACAAAATTTTTGTTCCAAGGGCAACACGTTTGAGTTTTGACCGTAAAAGTTTATCTAAGGCAAGTGTGGCCAAATGTACAAGATCAACTATTTTCAAGGTTATTTAGTATGTGCAAATTTTAATCTAAAGTTTGAGATTGCCATTTTACCTGTAATTACATAATTTGCAACCCTAATATATCTAAGTTTTGTATAAAATCATAAATTTTAAAGTCTTGTTTTAGTTAAATTTTGAACCTTAACAAAATGTCACATAAATGAAAACGATATATGTGTATATATAAGAGAGAGGGAGATAGACCTTCATAATGCCAATGCCGTAGAACTGTATCATCTCACCAGTAGGTGCATGTCCTTTCAATGGTCCTTCAAAGAAACCCCAATGCCTAAATTTGTATGTCACAACGGGAGGGCCAGTATACACGTTGATCACTTCCCACTAGAATCCTCTTGGAAAAGCTGACCGAAAAGCATTGTGAGACGATTCAAAGGTCTCTTCGTCTTCTTTGTGGTATTTGAATTCATTCGGCATTGAATTCTTCAATAGCGCATTGTAACATCAACTTTTAGTGTCTCTTCTGCTGACAGTCCTTCTCTTCCTGTTCAGCCGTTCAAAATAAATGATACTTTTTGTATTTTATATTTAAGAAGAATAATTCAAAAGAATTGAGAATTGATTTTTGTAAGACTTACCATTAACAAAGAGCTAGAATTTTTCAAGATTAATGGTCCTAATGTCATTTACGCCAGTCTTGTATTTAATCTCCATTTCCCACGTCTTTTTAGAATTTTGTATTGTTTCTTCAAGAGATCCTTTTGGCCATACCTGATTTAACCATCAAAACCTAACAGAACAAATCATATTGACAAGAAAATGATGATAAAATCACTACTTCAATCATGGACATTGATCACATGTTAAAAACTGAATTCCAACATAAAAATTCTAAATCATTTAATATAAAATTTATATATTTAAAAACCACATAAAAAATAGTATTCCATTTTAGTTCCTGTGCTTATTAAAAGTAGAAGATCCAAATTTTGTCATTTTATAAAATCAATATATTATTTCTTAATTTTCATATTTACCTTGATCAATAAATGTTAGAGAGAGATTATAAAGTGATGATGAACGAAAATAATAACAAATTGATATCAACAAGTAAGAATTATTTCACAAAGTAAGTAAATGGGCAGGAGGGGAGTACAAAATAATACAATAACTAACAACTCAAAATATCTAAATGACATATGAAAAAATATCACATAACTTAAGAGAGGGAAAGAATAGTTAACAAACCTTGGTTCTTCCTTGTTCAAAGACGTTATTAACACTGTCATAAATTGGAGGGCTACCATGTCTCCGCTCCATAGTTTCTGCAGCAGCAACATGATCTTCATGGAGGAACCGCCTATTTTTCAACTACTTCAAGTTTTTAATACTCTCTCTCTCTAAGTTTATTGATTTGGTTAATTTCACTTTGTGTGGTTATGCCTTTTTATAGATGAAATTATATACTGATAATTACATGAACTAGAAATGCACATGGTAAATAAATATTTAGATGACTTATAATTTATAGGGATGATATGTTAATATTATTTTATAGTTTAGTATTTCTTAAGAGATGTGTCAAGTCAAACATGGACATGTAAGCTAAACAGATGGACAATTATACTAGCTGATATGGCAGGAAATATAATGTCAATAATCTAATTATATTGACTTTTGGAGTGGTATCTGTAGAGATATTGTGGATTATGTGTTCTATTGCTTGTGTTGACAACAGGCGAATGTCGACCATTTGAGGTTTGGTGGTGAATTTAAGAGATTACCCATTTCAAAGTTCTAATAGTAACGCATCACTGAGGATTTTGTTATGGGATTGTCTCAGACTTCCAGAGGTGCTGATAGTATTTGGGTAATAGTGGATCGGTTGACTAATTCAACACATTTCATTATCATTCAGTCTTCTTCAAGTGTTGAGAGGTTAGCTTAGTGTATATTCAGGAGGTAGTTCGTCACCATGGGATGCATGTGTCTATTATCTATGATACAGATTCCCATTTCACTTCTAGCTTCTAGAGAAATCCTTAGGAGGAATTGGTAGCTGACTCGACCTTAGCACAATTTTTCATCTCGGACTGACTGGCAATTGAAGCATACAAATCAAGTTTGAAAGATACGTTTTGGGCATGTGTGCTGGATTCAAGAGGTCAGTGGGACTAGTTCTAATTAACCTTTGCGGAGTTTGTGTATAACAACATTTACCATTCGAGTATTTAGATTGTTCCATTTAAGACCTTATAAGGTAGGCATTGTCGCTCTCCCATTGAAGGCTTCGGAGCCTAGTCCACGTGGTACTGATTTGCTTCAAGAGGCTTTGGATATAGTTCATGTGATCCACGATATGCTTAGATCCACACAAAGCAGGCATAAGAGTTATGTTGACCGTAGTAAGCTTTTAGATTGTTAGTCGAGTTTCAATCCCTGCAACATGTTTTTATTAGGTGTTTTGGGCTTCTTAGCTGGAATTTGAGTTTGAGTTTTAGACTTTCCAATTCTAGAATAGATCTAATCTTAGAATTACATTTAGATCTTCTATGTACTAATCAAGCTTATGGAGGCCCGTTTGGGCTATTTTCATTCAAGTTCGTACGAGTATACCTGCTAGGCTTATGCGGATCTAGTTAAGTTATAGTTAGTTGATATACTTTATTGTCCCGCTTCTTGCTAGATTATTGAGGCGCATGGTTAGACTTATCACTATTATTCTATTCTCCTGCCTCCTTGATGCCATTTTACATCCCTCTTTTGATTGTATATTTAATTTCCAAGCGTGGTTGGCCTTTGATGCCCTATTTGATACCTATTATTTTGGAACTACTCATGTTACACTCTGAATCTGTTTTCCTTAATGTAGACTTGAGCACCAGTAAACCACGTTGATCTCATGTACTGTTGGGACATTCAAAGATCGAAGGTGAGTTCATGGTGTTCTAGTCAGTGCCGGCTCTATGCCTTTGAGAATAAGACTTTTGCCTTAGGCCCCCAAATTTTTGGGCCCCAAATTTTTATCAAGAATGAATAAATTATGTGTTAAAATTTTTATATAAAAAATAATTATTTATGATAAAAAGTAAAGATCTTAAAAATATATATTATTTCACTCACTTTAACATCTTTTATTCTTTGTTAAAAATAAGAATTGATAGTGAAAAGTATTGAACAAAGTGAGTTACAAATTCTTTTTTTTTTTCATTTTAAATTTTAGTCTCAAGCATTACTACAAGCATATAAAAATGGGGTATATCAACTCATCAACCTCTTGCATTAAATTATATGGTTCTAACTCTGATATTTCGGGCATAGGTTGAAGGGGTACTTGTGCATCATCCCTATTCTTTTATAAAATCATCATATTATACAAACAATCTCTTCACACCGAGCATGATTATTATATTTTACAAAATTTAAAATTATGAATCTAGTTTTATTTAAAATATAAAATGATAGGTCAAGTTTATATTTTAAAACAAATCAAAGTTCCAATTTGGAATTTCATGTCTAATTTTTGGATAATTTTGGGATTTAAAATCACGATTTGAATAATTTATTGATATCATAAACAATCATTGATTTGAAATAGAAACTTAAAATTAGATTTTCAAAATCTATAGAGAAATCAATTATTTCGTAGGATAGGATAGGGCGGGAGAACCATAACTCAAATTCTAAATGGGCCAAGCGAGCCAAATTTTGGGTTGAAATTTTATATATTAACACTAATTAGACCCATTTATACAATGTGTTCACTATTAGTCGACGACTAGTTTTGGTAATTTTATGTAGTATTACAAACTTTTATAATATTAAAACCTATAATAATAATAATAATAATAATAATAATAATAATAATGAAATATTCTTAATCCAACAAGAATAAAAACTTCATTGGTTACATTTTGATTATTTTGAATTTTTCTAAATTACCGTTGTGAACTTGAAAACAAAATAGAGGAGCTAAATGGGGTGGTGTGGGCAGGGTTAATTAGGGAGGGATGGGGTGGGTATTGAAAAACAAAAAAATATTAATTGGGTTTTGGTAGGGTATGTTGAATCTATGGCCCGCCCTAACTCACTCTATTGATATTACTACTTATTATTTTGTTCTCCCTCTATTTCTCCTTCCTCTGCCTATGTACATAATAAAAAGTGTCATAAATTATTAAGAATTCTTTGCACATAATATTTCAAGTGGAATAAATCATTCATCATACAAAATAATTTTAGAATATGATATAAACAAATGGTCGTACAAAAAAATTTTAAAAAAAATTGAATCACCATATTATAAAATTATAGTACATGATACACAATAGTGGAACTGGAAAAAAAAAGGGAAAAGCAAATAGGACCAACATGCATACCAAATTTGTTTATGTATTGTGGGCTTTCATTTCCTCTATAATTATCACATAGTTCATACTCCCTTCACCTTAAATTTTTTATCATGATTTTTAAATAATAGTTGTCTCAAATGATTTTTTAATTTTATAAATCAACATAAAATTAATTATATTTTTCTATATCCATAATAGTAATTGTCCTTGATATCTCAAAATAACACATAAAAATAAAATATTCAATAACAAAAAAAATTATATCTCTAGATATAAATAAAGGTAAAATATTAAAGAAACCAGTCTCTTAAATAATGCTATCTTATAGATCATGTAAACGAGAAACATAATGAATAGGCGTAATAATGAAAATTGCTACTACTTTAGAACTTTCTTGAAACTCTATGATATATAGCTTCATAACTATTGCGTATGGTAAAAGTCATAGTTGCCTTTTGTAATTGTAAGTCATTTACACGCTTTAACTTAACAAGTGTCTCTTTACCCCTATTGTTCTTGTTTAGAGGAAAAATATTATGTCTTTGTCAAATCATTAAGGTCCAGTCTAGATTTTCATCTTGTATGGTTTAATGGACTATTTGATTTTAACACATCCAATTTTTAATGGAAAAATCTATTTGGTTTTAACTATAGTTAACTTCTCTCATTTGTATCTTCCCCTTTCATCTATTTTGCTCTTTTGTCAATTTAACTAAAGACTCACTTTTGTTTCTTCCAAACTTAATTAAGAAATTTAAAAAAAAAAAGAGAGTCAATTTTAGGCTTATAATTAAAAATAGTTTAAAAATATACGTAGTATGTTCAAGATAATTTATATCAGCTAAATTTCCAACATGTGATATAGCCATGCATAGAGTGTTGATGTGCAGACATGAGAAGACACATTTGATGCTCTTAACGATGAATAATTTTAATTCTTAAGAAACGGTTGTCATTTAGTAGTGTTTCTACATCATTCGGGGTTATGGATTAGCTTTCCTACCAGTGGGTTGAGGTAAGTATCATCATGACGTTTTGGGTGGTGACAAAGTTGGGATCACATTTTTGGATTCGTTGATGTCATTGGTACAAAGCTAGTGCCTAAGAGATCCTTCTTTTGACCCACTATTGTCATGTTGATTTTGTTGATTGGTTTCTAGAATCCTACTTGCTTCACTCTTTCACAGGATGGCCCGCGCGTGTGGTTTAATGGCTGAGTAAAACTCCTGTTTGTCACAATCTAAAGTATACCCTTGGTGCAACATTAGTGTATAGAACCCCGAAAGGACCTACACAAGTAACTTAGCATACAATGTAATAGAATTGAATATTTCAAAGAGACAATCTTATATCATGAAAGAGTTTGACAAAGCAGAAGTCTAACATAGTCTCAACAAGCCATCTAAAACATCAAACGAGTTGTTGGAACGTAACCCAATACATCATCTTAAAACTAGAAAAACATAAAGCAAGAAAAAGTGTTTCCATCCTCGGAATAGGAGGACTCACCAACTCTTAAATTTGGTAAAATTATCGTTCGTACACATCATCTTTTGCTAAAGTGGATCCATACCTAGGTCATTTAAGACAATGCTACGGGGGCACATAGTTAGGAACTAGAGATTACTACTACAGACTTCCCAATTTGATTCTCCACCTCAAAGAACTCTTGTTGCTAAGTCTAAATCCAAAAAAAATAGATAAAAATCAAATATCATTATAACATAGGAAAGACAATGACCAATACCAATCCACATCATAAAGGTCAAAGCATAAAGCTCCTTATATTACAATTCAAGCATATGTGACAAGACATTTCACCAATGTGAATCCATATATGAGAAATGTCTTTCACGATGATGATCATATTTGTATATGAGAAAACCTTTCACAAAAAAATGATACTTTTCATATAAAATCACCCTATCATCTTAAACATCAAATTCATAAGACATGTATAATACTTCAAAATTCGTAGTTCATAGGTTCATGAGTTCTTCATAGGTTCATAGTTGAAAAATCATGAATCATGCTTGGGTCCATATGATTTCAACTAAATATCTTATTATTACATTAAATCATGAAATTGAAGATTGAAACAACAATTACACTCATAATTGGATGAAATCAAAGGGAAACTTAAGAAGAACCCGAACTTGATCATTTGAAATTGAAAACCTTGGTGAACCTATGGAGGAATGGACTCCATGGGTGAATACCCATATACATTTCTACTTAAATCCCAAGATGAATGTTGATTTGAAGACCTTGAATTTGGTTTAGTTTTGGGGAAATAGGAGAATGAGTTTGAAGTGGGTAGATTTATGACTTAAGGTCTATTATAGGGTTTAGGATGGATTCCACAATGATATAACATCATCTTATAACATTTACGATCCAAGTGTACACCCTGTACGTAATCGACACTCGAGAACCATTGTTGGTCCTAAGCGAATCCTCATCCTGGCTAACTACAAGCGGAAGACTAACTCAAGCACACAAAATCTTAAAAACTGAATTAAATTTAATAACTCAAATAATCCATCTTTAAAAAATTTGAAAAACACTCAATACATAAACTCAGAGTTTGTAAAAACAACTCAAAGAAGATACATATAAAAAACTACTCAACTTTGTCCATTGATGAAGCCTCTACTACTATAGAAGGATAACAAGACAAGACCTACGACATCTCCAAGACTACAATTGTAAGGTAAAGGTGAAGTCCTCCGAAATGTAAGAAGGCTTAGTACCAAAGCTAACTTGAACTGCAAGTGGTATCAACGAAGCTTCTGTTAATCAACCTAAATACATGTATCTGCATCATAAAAGATGCAAGCCAAACAACGTCAGTAAATATAATGTATGAGAATGTAAGGGGAACTATAAAGTATAAGCATAAGATTGAACTAATGAAAAATAAACATACTTACCCTTATTAACTCACACAACTCAACGAAATATAGTTCAACTCAACTCAGAGAAAATAAGGCTCAACTCAATAATAAAATACTCAAGTCAATAAAATATAGTTCAACTTTGGATACTCAAGGATAAAGCAACGAGAAAAGAATCAATATCTAGAAAAAAATTAAAACAATAGATAATAACTCAGTTGTATGCACAAGTACAATAATAACTCAATCATATGAAGATACAATAATAACTTTTATTTGTATGTAAAGATACAAAATAAGTCTGTTTGAGAGATTCTCTTTCCGGCAACCATCACTATGAGCTATGTGATAATACAACGTCTAACTCACGCTGCTTGAACCGTCCTATACTTTATCGGGGTATAGAACATACTAACTAAGTTGATCCACCAAGTTCTGTCTGAAGGGACTTAGGATTCATCTAAAAAGTATGATCATGTACTCATGTTGTCATACATAGTCTATGAGGAATGTGAGTTTTTTGAACACATTACTCATATTGGTGCTCAATACTACTCCCAATAATATGTACTCCTGCTTAATTTTGAAATTCATACTCTTTCTATGGTTTGAGATAATTGCTCAAACTATCCTCTTAAAAGAGGTAACTGCTATTAAAACATCTTTGAACTAATAACTCATTTAGAAATCAAAGTTTCTCTTTTATTAACGTATAAATTGATTCATTTTTGAATACTTACTTTCCTTATTGTGATATAAATCAATCATCATACAAAAGTATAGTTCCCTTGGCCTATAAATCAAGTGGAATAAATCAATCATCATACTTCTTCTTTTGATAGTGGTTGCTTGGCCTATGAAAATATAATTATGCAAAAGTATAGTTTCCTCGAACACGTAAATGTTGGAAGAAGGAAAAAGGAAAATGAAATTTGATGTTATGCCTCCTTCTTTTGATATTGGTTGCTTGGCCTATGAAAATATAATCATGCAAAAGTATAGTTCTCTCAAACAAGTAAATGTTGGAAGAAGGAAAAAGGAAAATGAAATTTGATGTTATGCCTTCTTCTTTTGACAGTGGTTGCTTGGCCTATGAAAATATAATTATGCAAAAGTATAGTTCCCTCGAAT